GGGGTGAGTGAAATAAAATGTGTTATGTTTATAGAAAACAAGAACAATCCTTATGAAATGTACAATAATTATATTAAATTAAGCATAGCTTTTCATCCCATGATACTTTTTTAGGAAATAAGAAAATTTAATTTCTGCCAGGTATATTAGTTATTTTATGCATAATTAGCAGTTGACCTGGGGTAATGCATGGTCATTTTCTTAAATATTATACTTAGACAAATTTTTCCTTCCAATAACCACCCCTAAAAGCAACCCTTCTAAACACTATAAGCACTTCAGAAAGGCTTTTGCTTTTCGGAAGTTAGAGCTATGTCGGGACATTTTCAGGACTTTCGTCCCGGATTCAGGTTTTTGGCACAGATGCCATGTTGACCACCATGGTCATTTTACCCTAAAACAGTTGAGATTACCTGATAAAAACGTTGTTTCTTAGTTTTTAGGTCAATGATATACGCGCTTTATGTCCATTTTACAGGTTGAATCTTGTCCGCAAGGGATGGTTGAATCTTGTCCGCAAGGGATGTTGAAAAAATCAAGTATTTGTGAAAATGTGATGATTTTGATAAAATCCAGGTACAAGGCATTCTCAAGTTCATCCATATCAGTATATTATATAGCGAAATCAATAAATATTGAGGTTCAGCGTCGCTGCGATGTAAGAGAAACATTTCGATGTACGACGGCAACGCGACGATCACGGCTTTAATGCAGTGAAATTCATACATCGCTTTAAATGGCAACAAAAAATACATTTTCCAAATTCGAGTTTATTTATACAAATACTTTTTACAAATTCTCCCAAGCCATCTTACTTTTTGAAATATTTCGAACCAAAACATTATCCTTCATCTTGTTTTAAAATTAGATGTAATTAAGGTGGCTCCCTACAGTTCTCGAAAACTTTAAGTATTTTGGGTAACCTTCGTTTTCAACAAAATTTATATTGAATACACTTAAGACAGGGCAATATGATTTTCCAGGAAAGTTCAGAAGTCTTTTGCTGTCGATATGTAAACAAATAGGAACAGTATTTAGGAACGTAACGTTTTATCTTTTGGACTTTTATTGTCTTATCTTATCTTTTTTTTCCTCCGGTCAATATTTCTGGAATTTGTTTTGAAGATTTATATGGTTGTTAGAGAAATAACATATTAAAATTTGAAGAATTCGAAATATTCATGAATAACGACTGCAGAAAATATGTCTTGTAAATTTACTTCAAATTTTGATGTTGTAGTAAACGTCATGCTTAACCTAAAGTCCAACTGAAGCTGCTAACGAAACAAAGTGTCGATTCGACCATAGGTCTCCAGAAAAGGCCTTTTATTTTTAAAAAATCCATAAAATTGCTTTAAAATGCAATGCTTTGACATACAATGCTTCAATCTACAGTAAAATTATATATAATATTATATATAATATATAATTATGTATAAAGGTTGGCAAGAAAATACAAACTCAAAACTGTATACAAAAACTAAATGACAAAAAACTCGTACATAAACATCGAAATTCATTTGAAAAACTAATCACTATGGTAACACATAACTAATTTAACACTTCTACGTTGTGTTTTTTTTTCATCACATTAAAACGAATTAATTTTACGAAAATTCATCAATTTCGTGACTCAATGTGGTCAAAACTATGCGGGATGACGGCGGCCGGTATATCATCACAAAATCCAGCTCTCTGATTTTGAAGAGTCCCGTTTGTACCTTTCCTTTTATGACTTTGAAATGTCTGCGTTTTCCTATGTAAATATTCGCTTTTTTGCATATTTGTACATACATTGCCAAATAAATTTGTTAAAATAAAAGAAACGCAGCGTTTTCTATTTTCCGAGAAGCTTTGAGTGAACTGTGAATGGGGCACGACACAAACGACACAAACAGAGGGAGTCTGGAGCAATGATGTGGGAAATTTTGAAGTTTCGATACTTTAAAATTATTTTTGGCATTCTGAAAAATGTTTTCCCAACAAATTCATTATCATTTTTATGTTGATTGTGTAGTAGATAGGCTATTAAGCGTATTCGCAGATTCCATACAAAATTAATGTAGGTAATAGGGAAATTTTACACTTTACCGTACCGGATCCAATCAGATCAGAAATTTTATTACAGAAATTTGCACTGCGATTCCAGAAAATTGCACTGCTGTTTGGGATTAACTGCACTGAAATCAACCAATCACAGTCGAGTAATATTTTTATGTATATTATTAGCTAATTAATAATATATGTAACGTTTTCGTTCTTGAATTAAACTACACAAAACAATGGTCTGTTCACCAAAATATTTGTTATCATTTGACAATTGAACCTTTGCCAGTCTGAAATGAAAACCCTGGGAACACAATGGAGAACATATTCTTTTGTGTAAGGGGAGGGCCATTAGAAATCCCGGGAAGGGGGGGGGATGAAAATTCCCCCCAAAAAATTCGTGCAAAGAAAAATGCGTGGAAAAAAAATTCGCGCAGCCATTACGTCAGAGAAAAAAAAAATCGTGCAAGCAAACTGCAAAGTGCAAATAGTCTTGAAAAAAAATCTTGCAGAGGTTAAATGCATAAAAAAATCCTGCAGAGACACGAGACTGAAAAAATATCGTGCCGCAAAAATTTTACACACCCCCCTCCCGGGATTTCTAATGGTCCGCCCCTAATCGGAATTTCCCTGTTAGGAACATGCATGTAAACAAGGGGTATAGTTATAAAGTTTGTTCGTTCACTGCAACCAGGTATATCAATCATGTTTCGCTCGCTACTCTGGTTTAAATAAATGATTACAAAGTCCAGTCGAATTGTAATCAAGACCCAACGTTTCGACACTCCAGTCTAGTGGCTTCATCAGGGGTGATCTAAAACTGCGATCGTGGCTTCTTAAATACCCAAGGGATGACGTCACCTGCCAAGAAGATGCATATGCTTTGAATAGGGTTGACGGTGCCTATTTGCCAGAGGAATATATGCATCTTCTTGGCAGGTGACGTCATCCCTTGGGTATTTAAGAAGCCACGATCGCAGTTTTAGATCACCCCTGATGAAGACACTAGACTGGAGTGTCGAAACGTTGGGTCTTGATTACAATTCGACTGGGCTTTGTAATCATTTATTTAAACCAGAGTAGCGAGCAAAACATGAAGGGGTATAGTGTTTCCACAAAACAAGATAGATAGTCATTCCTACTCATTTTCACTATGCAAACATACCTGAAGCTTATTTCACGTTTAGTTGTTAATTTAACGACATGAATTTCCATTCTCAAGCACCGACGAATCAGTACTTTTAAATTGGCTGACGTCTGTGGAGACATCACTATCCAACTCTGGAACGGGCACTAAAGAATACAGTTTCATCTCGTTACTTCTATCAAGTTTCTTGCTGACTTGTAGCGAGTCTGTCGCTTCTCATGTTCTCGCTACTATAGCGTTTGTGTGCAATGCTGACCCTACTCAGGTAATAATATCATTCGTGCGCTACACATTTTTAATGGTACGGCCATGAAAAAGCTGATAAAAATTCATTGGTATATAGGTGGACTGACCCAGGATTGGAAGTCAACCCGAATTGACAGAAAACCGAGCTCGTGGAAATGGGGAAATATCATGTTAAACAATGCCTTGTTAACTAAGCGTTTCTGGGAGCGATCACACAATTAGAGACTTTATTTATGGGGGTAATTCACTGGACTTTTTGATGAAACACTGGAGTTTTTTTCAAAATTCACGATCGAAATAGTATGGATGCCATAGTTGGAATAGCGCGGAAGTCCATTTACCATACATATTGGAATATTTAATAATTATTGGATTCTATTGAGTCCAATATGGCAAAATATTAAGTTGAGGCTTCAATATTTTGCCACATTAGGCAAAGACGAATCCAAATGCACAGTGACTCAAAATATTATCTCATACCTAGCGTATTAGCGGCTGTCCTATTGGCTGCGACGAGGTGCGTTCAATCTCGAACTTGCCTGCTGACGTATGTTTAGGAGGGGGGTTGGAGATCGATGTTTCGGCGGCAGCCATTATGAAGGAATTTTAACAAATTTCAGATGAAGATTTAAATAAAAAATTAATTAACTGTTTTTAATTGTTTTATAATTATTATTTTTTATTTTGTTCTGTATTTTTTATTTTATTCTGTATTCAAAGTGGAAAAGAAGAAAGATGACCGCCGAAATTTGTTCGGCACGGGCAGGTTCACTTGTCAATGTTTTCGCAGAATGTGTGCATTTTCTCTTTTCAAGAATGAGGGAATAGTGTAGAGATTTTTTTTAGCTTCAATTTAAGCCTAAGTTTGTTTGTTCGTGTAGTATGTTGGCGGCTAAAATGTTCGTTATACAAACAAGCAATTATATACTAAAATGCGTAAATTCTTCAGTACGTTTTACCGAAATGGCATGTGATAAAAACCAAACATACTTGCGGGTTCGGCGAGTCCGGGATTGGACGCACCTCGGATGGCTGGAAGTTTCCCAAACCCATCTCACTACGCTCGGTGAGTTCGGGAAACTTCCAGCCACCCTCGGTGCGTCCAATCCCGGACTCACCTCCCTACAAGTATGTTTGTTATAAAATTATTCAATGTTTTGAGTGAAGTTTAAAATTGTTTACTCAATATTTTGACTGTGGGTGCATTATTTATTTTACATACGTAGTGGGGGGGGGGGGGGG